TACAGTAACATTAATTTTAATGTTAGATCGTGGACATCAAATTTAATATATCCTTCCAAGTTATGAAAAAATAAATTATGAAATACGAGTAAATACATCTTTATTTAAGAGTGCTCTTTGTGCAGTAGGTATTACTTTTTCTCCAGAGAAAAGTAATTAAGCAGACTTTTTCAGTTTGTGACAAAATGTTTGTTACTTAAAAAATCTCTTTATTTAATCTCTACAATTTAATGGTAGTAAAGGTCAATACTCTTATTTTTATTTTCGTATTAGGAGTTTTGAGCTAGTGTGGCCAAAGGGAACTGGAAAAACTGTAGTACAAGAAACAAAATTGCAATTAAATTAGGTAAATACAGAACAAAACGAGCAAAAACTATTTAGAAATATGAGCCCACCTTTAACGAGACGATCGGGGAGGGACAATTTGCGCTCAATAAGAGTAGGCAACACTACAAACACCGATCCAATGTCGACTACAGGTATAGAAGAAGACTTGACAGACGAAAGGAAACGAACATACACAAACATACCAAGAGAAAAAGACAACATGACAAATATGGAAATATGGACGAAAAGAAAGAATTTAAAGATATGATAAGAAATATACTAAATGAAGTCCATGAGCTCATAAAAGAAAACCAAGGAAACAAAGAAGAGATCAAATTATTAAAACAGGAGAACGAAGAATTGAGAGGACAAGTAAAAGCCTTGAAAACAAGAGTAGATGAACTAGAAAAAATTGAATTAGAATACATAGAAAAAAAAAACAAACAAAAAAAACGTATAGTGATACGCGGACTGACAAGAGTAGACGAAACACAACAAGAAACAATACAAGATACTGACACTATTCGTGGAGAAACTTCAAATATATGTATATAAAACTAAAGAATGTCAATAAAATAAAAAACAATCTATAAGAGCTTCGCACAAGAGTCTTTTATGACCCTTCCCGTATTATATCGGAAGTGGTCACTGAATTTTTGGTTCTCTTGCCCTTCAGTTCCTGAAGATGCTCTTTACGAAAGTGGGTAAAACGTTGAAAGATTCCTTAAATTTCATATGATGCAAACTCGAAAAACGTTTTTAAAACAATGACTTTGGCCGTGAAAACCCCAGAATCCTTTTCAAAAACCTCTACGAGGAGGATTTTCTCAAAAATCCTTTCAATTCTTCCGACTCAGACATAAAATGTCGAGGCTTCTTTCAATTCATACTTTCTTGTTCCGATGTCGAGATCATAATGTCATTCCCAATTTCCTTAAAATTAAAGACCAATTCTCGACTTCTTCTTCACGTAAAATCCTCTCTGAGTCTAGCTGATCCTTGGTGCCGGAACGGAAGCGAGCAGCTAGACGGGAACTGAACTTCGTCGCCCAAGATCTTCACTCACTTGATTTAAAACATGCAAACACCGTCAGCCTAAGCGATTGGGCTCTCTTTGACAGAATCACTTCTATAACCAATCCCAAACCACTATCAAATTATCCAGCGATCAACACTTTCGAAAATTTCAATCACTAATTCCACATTAACTCTCGACACCCACATACACACGATTCACAGAATTCCAAAATGGTGGTCAATTTTTGGTCACATCAATTATCTGAATTAGAAACCAACCTCTGTCCAAAGGTCTTAACTTCTCAGCTACCCCCAATAAAATTCCTACCGATAAAGTCATCAATGCTGTTGAATCTTCTATTCGATCCCGTCCTAAACAATCCGCGGACACCGGCCGCTTCGAAATGCCAAAATTCCAAAATCCAATCTACCCAAAGATGAGAAACTTGCTCTTCAAGGCTTCAAATCCAATTCTGACTTTCAGGACTAGTTATATGTACGATATATGTACAGTTGTAATTATTGCATAAAGCACATACTTTTATCTTATTTAACACATAATATATATGTTAGGTAATTACTAATTATTATCCATGTTGTTTTTATTTACACATTTATCGACGATTCTAATATACCACCAAACATTTATAGAATTAAAATATTATTAATAATATTATGATGTTTGAAAGTAATTTCATTTCGTTTACCGTCGTTCTCTGTACTCATTTTCGTAAATCTGGTAAACTAAGGATTCCGTCTGGTGGCTAAATTATAATAATCTAGTCGAATAAAAAAATTATCCTAACATTACGATGTATGACGTAGTTTAATCTCAGTCACTTTTTCTTGATTTTTCCTTTTTACTATTTGCAGGTTTCTTTTAAGACGAGAAAACATACCAGTCGGTCGCCATCCTGCCTTACCCTGCTTATAAAGCTCCAAAGGCTGCAAAAGCAAATAATACACAAGAGCAAGCGTAGCCATCATGCCCACGTTCCAAGAGCCGGGTGGATCGCACGAATTCTAGAGACTCCTACTTTAGCGGCCATTCAGGCCTTTCTCCGGAATGCCATGTAGGAAAATCACAAATTTTATACCTCGATTTCTATGGTAGCTACAGCCGTTGCTGCAGCTACTATTCTTTGTAATCTTGCATAATATTTTGGGCGATTTAGGCTGGTATCCCACGTCTTTATCTATAGAACCATTAAAACAGTTCGATTCAAAGAATAAACGTGATAGACTACTGTGAAAATATTAACTGAGTTAGTTACATGATTCAAAAGAAATTCATTATAGACACTTCTAGAAATATTTTATATCGTCTAAAATGAATTTAGTTTTTTAAACAGAACCAGTACTTTTAAAAAATCACAGTTAAGTTAACCCTGTTAGTTTTCGCATTGTACTCGAATTTCGCGAAATTTAAGAAAACTAAAAAATTGTAGTTATCTGTGACTAGTGCACGAAATTCTGTTTTAGCAAACATGAAATTTTAAACCGGACACACCAGTTAGTAAATTATTCATGCGTTCCAAAAATGTCTGGTGAACAAGTTACATAGATAGATATATATTTTTGTTAAATCGCACTTAAACAATCAAATAATTTTTTAGAATAGATCTGCATTAATTACCTACCTTCATTCTGTTATCCTTTTAAAACACAAATCATTACTATTTAACAGACTGCTTCAACATTTTCCGGATATTTGATGGAAATATTGACTACATCCACAGACTCATGTACAGGGTGCCGAATCCAGGTTTGGACATAGGGAATTAACATGGGCAATTGGTTTTTATTTTATGATATCTTCCCAGATCATATTAAAATAGCGGTTGTCAAAAAATGTTCGTAACATTCCTGTTGTGGTCCTAGTCGAATGCGCTGTAACCCCGTCCTGTTGATAATAACCTACTTCCATTTCGTCGTTGTGAAATTGTGGTACCTATAAAATCTGCTAAAATTTATTGAAAATGAAACCAAGTTTTTTCTGTCAAAAAGGTTTTCTGCAACAGCAATTCATCAAATGTGTCCAAAAGCCACTTACAATAGTCAACCCTAGCTGGAAAAAAGGCTTCACGTAATTCTTGCAAACAAGTAGGTGGATAAGAGGATAAGGAAACTGTGCTAATTGTCGTGTGGATGTTAGAATGAATCACCGGTAAAATTTTTCCAATATTTTCTCTTAACTTTCGATCTGTCACTTCCCTACTTTTTTTTGTCGAGACAAAGATTCCTCGTAACTTTGTCAAATGTCGTTGTAATACGTGGCAAAAACAGGCGTAGTCGACCATACAGTTGGGCAATTCTTCCCGGAATTCAACCCATAAATCCAATAAAAGTTATTAAAGAAGAAATAATTTTTACATTAGTTTTCCCAGACCCATAAATCCCAACTTAAAAAGTCCTGTAATGTAAAAATTATTTCTCCAGGAAGCAACAACAAGCAAGAAAACAAAAAAGTAAGGTTAAGGGACGTTCCATTTGACTTTTGTCAAAGTCACAATGAGATTTTAGTTTTTGTTTTTTTGTATGTCTCTTTCAAATATTAATTTGAATTACAAAATTATCGGCAATTAAAATCAATTTTGCAATAAACTTTTCTATGGCGTAGCTTTAGATGCAGTGTTAAACGTACGGATTTCAGAGAACACATACGGATTCAATTCCAAGGATGATTGTACTACAAATTATGATGCTCGCCCCATAATTATTCTAATTACTTTAAGCCCATGCCTTATCTACGACGAGGCTGTTGAACACGTGTGTTTTTATGTAACACTCACTGGGATCAGCAATGAACACATGAGCCACGTCTTTCGCGATGTGCTTGTAATCTGTCGGTTTTATCTAAAGCGCAGGATTCTTTCAGGACCTGATACGAGGATTATAAACCCTCCTGCTCTATATTTAGGGTCCCTTCCACAAAACGTTCACTAATTTTAAAAGAGATAATTTAATAATAATTGTAATTTTAAATTCTCTTTTAATTTTTATTTTAAGGTTTGTGACGACTGACAAGTTTTGGCGACCCGTCTTATCTCTAGATAACCCCCACGCGAGGCCCTGACTAGGCTAATAGACCCATCTTATCATTCTTTATAAACTTATTATTTACGTAGTTAGAAAAAGTAAGAACGACGTACCTATAAAACAAAAATTTGTTCGCAAAAAATGAAGCTTTATTTTACATTTATTAGGTCTTTTTTTGAAAAAAAAATTACTAAGCTTGTAAAGGGTTTTTCAAGAAAAGAAGTTTTTGCTTCGATTAAAATTTCCTTCCCCACTCATCAACATTTTTCAACGTAGTTGCCGACTCCAGGAGAAAGAATTTTGAAAATTCACCAACAACTACGCGACACCTCGTATTATTTATTTCCTGACAGCATAATCACCTTTCGCATTAAGAATATTGAATTTTCGAAAGCACTCCAATTTTCACAACCGAATTAAAAACCGCACCATCTCGTTGCACTCATACTCTCCATTAAGACGATTGCTTTAGCAATGGTCTCGTGCTAAAAGCCGGTAGAACGGCTTTATTTAAGCCCATCGCACCTCTTCCGAGCTTATTTTCGTCCTTTTCATTTTATTTTTTTATTACCCTAGTCCTAAGTGGGCGCAACGTGCCCACCTGTAACGGAAGAACATCGAGGAAACGCAGTCGCGCGCCGCCTCCAGCCGAGAACCGCACGCTTTTGGCAGTTGGTCTCGTGCACCGCCGCCGGAACGCCGTCACCGAGTCGCCTCCAGACACGCGCTAGCGATTTGTTGTTTGCAGTTGTCGTGATGGTGTGCCGTGAATTCTGAGCAAATTATGCAGATTTCGGTGGGCGCCCTGTGCAGGATCGGACTGTTGCTGGCATTTGGACTGACAGGTGAGTGGAGGTTTCGGTTTTAGATGGGGTTAAGTGAATTTTGGCCGCTTCCGGGCAGGCGGAAATGTTGCGATTTTCTGGGGTTGGACTTTTTAAGTTGGGATTTATGGGTCTGGGAACTTTGCCACGCCGTCTACTACTTCTGTAGGCGGTATTCCTGCTAATAGAGAAATACTTAAATAATTTATGGGGCAGGATTCTCGGTGCATTAAGGAAATTATAAGTTGACCGGGAAATTTATTTTAGCACTAAAATATGCGCATCCAATTTTCGACACACTTTTGTCGTGTGCTAGGTGATTTAGTCAAAAGGAATTGATTTCTTGAGAGTTGTAATAGTAATTATTATTGATCGATTAAATTTATACTGATGCAATACCGATAATGTTTACATTCGTAAGTACATTGAATTACGTGGGGTTTATGATACTATTTTCCGCTGAAAAAAGAACAGAGTTTCCAGCGAAAAAAGAACAGAGTTTCCATAGTTTGCAAAATCCTTTTTGTCGCTTTTGGCAACAACCTTTGTTCATATACAGGTATTAAAAGCTGCAGGTAAATAGTGATGCAATAGCTGTTTTGGACATTATGCTTTTAACATGTCGCATAAACATAAAGGTACGAAATTTTAGATATTATTTGAAAATGCACATTTTCAAAAATTTACTTTTATATAACGCATATCAATAGTTTTACCAGATCTCTTTTAATATTCTAATGACGTGAAGGGCAAGCGTTTGTAAATTAACAAAGTCGAATAATGATATTTTTTTATGCGTGCTACAATTTAGGGAGAGATTTGAAATTTACTTATGCCGTTAAATTTACGATGTTAAAATATTTTTGATAAGTGACAACTCTTTTCATATTATGACTTATTTTAATACACAATAAATAATTCGTCACCTTAGAACTGGTTTGCCGCATATCCAAATCGCGTCCGAGGGATTTTCGCCTCTACTGGTTGGTGCAGATTTGCCGCATGTCGCACTTGGGCGAAGCGAAACATAGTTTAGATTCAGTGCTGATTTGCCGCATGTCCAAGCAGAAATCGATACAGTACCGTTGTCCGTTTTTACGTACTTCCTTGCTGTTTTGCTTTTCAGCGTTAGGTTTGGGGTTGGGAAAGAAATCGTATTCAACTTCACGCGCAGAACAATAAGAATAATGTGAAATAAATAAAAAAGAGACTTAACAATTTTGATGAATCTGAAATTAAAAAAAAGCAACTGTAATTTGTGCAACTCTTTTTCTGTTGTTATAGATGTTACAAATATTTTCAAATTATTAGTTTCGAAATTTTACAAATTTAAATTTCAAATAGATTTGTTGTTCGATAAACAAATAATTTAATTTTTTACTAAACAGTAACATTTTATTAACGATATTTCTACATCAATAATCACAATTAATAGATACATTTTTAATTTTTTAAATTAAAATGTTGTAAAAGTAATATGAAAATTAAAATTTCGAAGCAAAATCTGTTTAGGTGGATTTTGCTTCGAAATTTATTACTGGAACGTTTACAAAAATCAGCTTTTGACATAAAATGCTTGCAAATTTGAAACAGAATTGGAATGTTTCTTGACAATCATGCCTAATACATTTTTGACTTGTATCTTTTAAAAAGAATTATTTCCGAATTTATAGCTATTTACAATTTACGACTTACTTCAAGAACAAATTCCGTATTAGAATTTTACCTATAATAACTAAATAGATGTATGTTGTTAACTTATATAAGGTACCTTACATCGAAACGAGTAATTTGTTTTTTAATATGACATTGCCTTTCTTTATCATTCTATTTGTCTAACAATTATTGTTGTGCAATTATACGCGTGTAAATAAAAATAACTTTACAATAACTTATTTATGGGTAAATTTTTTTACCAATTAATTTAACTGGATGGTTATATGTAATGGTAATAATAGCCGCATAAAATTCACTCACTGTTTAGGTATACCAGATATCAAAAGCTATTAAATCCAAATGTTATTGTTTATTTTTTTTATGTCTCGACCGCAAGCTAAGGAAGTATTGTAATCAGGTTCATCGGGCGACTGGCTACTTTTATGGCTTCTCAACGTTTCATGACACCTATAATACGAAAACATAGGTCTCGCGTTTCCAGTTGATAAAACGCTGACCAACATTTGTAATCATCCTCCCCATCATATAACGTCATCTCCAACTTTTACAGCAATAAATGTTATATAAATTTTAAAAAATAACATACTTTTTCATTTGTTGTTTATTGAAATTGTACCCTAAGCATCCAGATTGAATTGAATTACCATAACCCTAATTTCTTGAGATTTTGGAAATAGGACATACTACATACATAAAGAAAGTTAAAAGAATTTGAAGTAATGTAATGATACTCTTTTTACATCAACATACTATTATTTATCAATTAATTGGGCATCGTCCAAAATACTGTTCATAAATTATAAGTGCAGGAAGTTTATGCAAAAACATGCAAATACATTTTTTGCGTATAATAATATGTATTGCTTTATTATTAAGTATCTACTCATTTATAAGAATTATTAAAATTAGTAAAAAAAAGTATTCAAGTCTCTGTCTAGTTTAATACCTTACCTTATTAAAATAATAAGTTTAATCAATTATGTAGTTAGCAAACAATGACGTTTAATTTATACTTAGTAGGGTTCACGGCATGTTTAATTCGGAGTTATAATTTGAGAATATAATTTACCCGTTTATTTATTTTTGTAGTTTAGTAGTACTTCAGCAAATTTAGAAAACTGTATGTTATTTAAAAATACGTGACAAATCAGGAGGCCAGGCAATCTAGAGATCTGACTGCTGGTTTGCGCGGGAAATACTGCATACTTTTTAGATAAAAGGAGTCTATGATAAGCGCACGTAGGAGATGAGAGACAGAGAGCTAATATTTAGAGCTAATGTATTGGAAAGAAATAGGACAAGTTTACGTGCGCACACCACAGCCTCCCTTTCTTCTCTAAACAGTTTGGGATCATACCATAGTATCATAAATAATAATTGACAAAGAGTTCGCAAAGGAATCCAACGGAAATATTTATACAATTGTTTACAACTACCAGTACAAATAATTCTTTCATTTTCAACTGAAAAGCGTATAACTATATTAAGTACTAGATATTATGGAGTTAGGGGTAATCAAATAGATTTGGGTTGCAGTTAACATAATTGTCACTGATACATAAGACATGGAAACGAATGATTTATTTCCAAATCCAAATATACTGCATTTGCAGTTTTAAACAGTATCACTGCTAATTTTCTCTGGTTGCCCGACAATAGCTACTTGTAGTCAATATCCACGTAATCTAATAAAATACTGGAATCTAATTGTTTGAGACAACAACCTATTTTTATCCGAGTGTTCTTTATCAGTTTGAATATTTTATATAAAAAAATTACATATTAAGCTGCAATTTTAGTAGGACTGCAGCGAGTCAACGAGCCGCCTTTACTCCGCCAATGCAAAGAAAATATCATTTTATTATCCTTTGTAAAAATAGTTCCTTTCTGTAAAACACATTTAAATTTGGTACTCCGTATTTCGTTCACAATTCACCATTTAACAATGGAAATTAACAATGCAATATTTGGATTCTACAGTTTTTAGGAAAAATGAATGACTGCAATGAGTTTTATCAAATGTAGATTTTATATAAAAATAAAGAAAAATAAGTCTCTTTATTTTAAAAATATTTAGAAAAAATCGAATCAAAACATCAATAACTTAACATTCATTGTTCGTTATACTTAGTTAACTACTTCACCACGAGATTTCTAATATCGTTTCAATTTTTCATTTATTTCACATTATGAGTCCTTGCCGTATTTCTTGTTCTGCGCGTGAAGTTGATTAAGAAATCTTAATCTTAATTATCTCTGAAAAATGTATCTATTATTATCTGTAATTATTGATGTGGAAATATCATTTCCACAAATACGAATATAGGTATGCAGCATTATGAATTTTGTTGACTAAAATTTTAGAGAAAATAAGTTCAATCATTTCCGAGAAATCATTAAATAAAAATGTTACTGTTAAGTAAAAAATTAAATTATTTGTTTAACGAGCAACAAATCTATTTGAAATTTAAATTTGTAAAATTTCGAATCTAATAATTTGAAACTCAATCTTTCTTAAAAAAAAATCGAAAATATTTGTAACATCTATAACAACAGAAAAAGAGTTGCACAAATTACAGTTGTTTTTTTTAAATTTCAGATTCATCAAAATTGTGAAGTCTCTTTTTTATTTATTTCACATTATTCTTATTGTTCTGCGCGTGAAGTTGAATACGATTTCTTTCCCAACCCCAAACCTAACGCTGAAAAGCAAAACAGCAAGGAAGTACGTAAAAACGGATAACGGTACTGTATCGATTTCTGCTTGGACATGCGGCAAATCAGCACTGAATCTAAACTATGTTTCGCTTCGCCCAAGTGCGACATGCGGCAAATCTGCACCAAGCAGTAGAGGCGAAAATCCCTCGGACGCGATTTGGATATGCGGCAAACCAGTTCTAAGGTGACGAATTATATACCATTTTTTAAGCTTAAATATTTTTTTTTACCTTTAATGCTTTGCTTAGTGCTAATTTTATTTAGTGACGTGGGGTTTTAGTCCAATTTATTAGGATAGCCATATATACGTATATATTTAAAAAAATATTGATGACTCATATCCAAATTTCTGTATTTGTTTGTAAAATGCAACGCTTATTAAAAACATCTAGTCAGCGCTGGATTTGTTTGTTATGGACTGTTATTCAGAATAATAAATATATCAGTAAATAAAAATTCATATAAAAGATTTGAAACATTATATTTTATCCGTTGCAGTGTAAAAACTGTTGCTACTAAATAAAGTTGTTAATGACTCGAGATTGCTGTCATAAAAATTCAAATTTTGACATTTTCGCATTCATTAATTTTTGCGACATTTAATTTTAACTTCAAACTCTAGGGAA